CTCCTTTGTCGTTCTGCTTTACCACTTTTGTATCTTGGTTTGGTTTGTTAGGTTTAGGAAATCCGTTCTGTTTTCACAGTGCCTCAAAGGTGTTGGAGAAGCACAGGGAAAATAGACAAGGGTGTCTTAGAGCAGGTGTCAGGTAATCTGTGTTAAATGATGTAGATCAACTGAACATCTTTAGTTTGGCTGTTTGCTGAATTTACAGCTTGCTAAAGTGTCTTGGGAATTGCTGTTGGAAATACAGCTTCTCTAACCAAAGGTGTTTATTTTGAGGGGGAAAAGCTCTTCCTGAATCACCAAGTGACACCATGTCTCGCAAGTGATGTGTCCATACTGACGTTGGTGTTGGGTGGTTGCATTTCAGGTGCGTGTAGAGGATCGTGCAGATAGTTGCATTGGAGTGGACACAAAGACACAAAGCTGTTTGTTTAGACCAGAAATAAATTGAGTTAATGAATTTTAAAAAAGGAGCAGAGGCATTTTTATTAAAAAACCCCAAACACTCTTCTCCCTCTGCCCCCCAAAGAAACCCCAGACCAGTGAGGTATGGGTGATGATATGCTGTCCATAGTAGGGCTGAATGAAGGACTAAGTTGATCCTGTCTGCATTTAGATGCTGCTCAGAGGACTATGAAAATTTCAAAAGATTTCATTTGCGTCACCTACAAAAAAAAATGTTAATTACTTCTGTAAAATTAAATTTTCGAATAGTCTATTGAAGTCAAAGCATTTAATTAAATACAGCATCGCAGATAACAACATTGTTAAACAATGAAACTATTTGATTAAGAATTGCCCAGTGTGCTGTTCTGTGCCCCCACAAGTAATTTGTGTTTCAGAACAGTGCAGTCCTTTTTGGCTTCAGCTGAAAGCATCTGTTTTCACATTGCAGAAATACAGGGAAAGCACTGGAGTATTTGTTTATAGTATGTGTAAACCTCAGTGTATGATGATGATTTGTCTGAAGTGGAGTCTTGTGTTTGTCAGCATTGTAGTGGCTTAAGTTCCTGACCTTCTCAAATGAAGGACTCTGTAGTCTTTTCTACTCAAAATCATTCAGAGGATTACTTCAGCTCTTGCTTGGGCCCCCTCTTTGGGCCAGAAAGCAAGCACCAAGGTAAAATGTCTATTTTGCACCTCTGTCTTAGTGAATGACAGATAGGAGGGGTGCTCGTAGCAAGAAACCCAGATCTGCTTTTTGATTTTGTGGGGAGGAAAGGGAGAGAGAGATGTTACCAAAGGCTGAGTTTGCTTACCACAGTGTAACACAAGTAATACTTACGAAGCCCATCAGCACAAAGTTTGAAGAACTGGCAATGATTTGGCCTAAAACAGGCCAAACCTTAGATGAAGATCTTAGAAGGAACTTCAGCAGAACAGTTTATCAGTCTGCTTTCTTGGTAGAAGGGAGAATGCGAATTGCACAGTCTTTGGGACTTGCATGACACGGTACCGTGGCCGGCGTGATTCCCGATTCTGGTTCCGCAGAGCAGCACTCAAAGCTGTGCTTCCTAGCGCAAGGGTTTGGCAGTGCTGGTGGTTTGGTTTTGGATGATTTGCTGCATTGAATGTAACTTTTTTTCTACAGCCTCTGCAAAATGAGGTGAGATCTAGTTGGTGTGAGCAGTCTTGAATGGTTCAGGTGTCTGGTAGGAGATTTTTCTGTTCTGTCCGGTGTAGCACATCACCTATAACACAAACAAATGTTAAAGTCTTCCCTTGGGAAAGAAGTATATGGCATCGTTCAGCAAAGACTGGAAGTTGCACAATGGATATGTATATGTAGAAGCGTGTGTTTAAGTGTGTTCCTGCTTAGGCCTGTAAAAGACGTCCTCCTAAACGTGAGTGACTTGAGCTTTTGGTGATGTTAGCAGCATGGTGTCTGTGATTACTGTAAATATGTTTTCCAGCTGTCTACTTCTGGGACACCAACCAGCTGTCAGTCTGCCGCATTCCTGGGCTGTGGGGGGTTTAAAAAAAATCTCTGCTTTTAAATAAATGCAGCTGTGTACTTGTGAAGGAATCTGATTGGTATTTTTGTTGCTCTTACTGCTGCATGATAAATATTCTCCTCTGTATTTTTATTATTATACAGAATGTAGACATTTCCCGACCTCCCGAGGACGCTCTTGTAACAGTCCCTGCTCATCAGTGAATCCTGTGTGCTGATCAACTATCGAACTTGGGGTGCTGTTTTCATCCTACTACTTCAAAATAAATTGAAAAACTAATCATTCCAATCACTTTGAAATAAAAAAGCCCCACCCAAACCCAACAACTCAAAACCCAAATCAAATGTTTGTACAGCGCATGACTTGAAAAAAAATTATTATCAAATCACAATAAAACTGTATTGCACTGGTTAATTTATTGTGGATGAAACATTGATCGGCTGTCACTGGAATGCTGTTTTTGTAAATTTTGATGATTTAAAGATCCTGCAGCATTAAGTGTTATTGTAACAGCCAGCAATCATTTAATGTTAGCTGCAGCGTGTTTATAAAAGCCTTGAAACACAACATCCTGTGTGCAATGAGAACAAGTTGAAGTTTGTTTTCTAGGCACCAGTATTATCTATTTCAGTGCCCTTGGGAGTGATTGGACTGCTATGTAGTATAAAATAACAATCCATAGTTACTGTAAAATCTTAATCCCACTGATCCATAGCACTAGTGCTTTAGATGTGCTAATTAATGATGTGCTCTTTGAAGAGGGTAGCAAGTTTTCATTTAGTTCCAGAGCAATTATTCAAGGTACAGGAATGTGTATAAATGTTTTTAATATATGACTTTTTTAACAGCTGTTCTGCATTAACTAGGCTTCTGCCCACCGGCAGAAGTGATTTTAGATTTCCTCTTTTCCTGCTTCTCGTATGGACATGGGTGATTGACGAGCTTTTACAGCTCTGCTCCGTATGTTTTGTACCCAGATTTTATCTAGGCTACAGTAAGCAGCGTTGACCATTTCAGAATGTGGAAGCAGAGTTAGCCTGATGATTTTGTAGCTGGGTTGTGACTTGCCTTGTAGGGGATGGGAGGGTTTTCCTCTTGTCAGTAGGCACGGGATCTCAAACCAGCAGGGAATGCATCCTAAACTGAACTACAGCAAAACCTTTCGCAGGCTGGAGGAGACTGTGGCTTGTTTGAGACGTGGTGCCGTGCCTTGGCTCCCTTCTCTGCACTGTTACGGTGGGCAGAACCAGGCAGCGGGAAGCATCTGTGCCATCAAAGCAGCTTGGGTTAGGTAGCATTGAGTCTGGGAAAGGCAGAAAATCTTTGAGTCCTGGGACTGTTTTCTGAGGGGGTCTTGTAGTATTGACAGTAAGCAGGAGTGGCGCGTTGTGGAAAGCTTTATCTGCTAGCTTTCTCAGGTGGTACGTTTTTCCAAAACCGGGATTTTGGGAAAGAAAGGGTTACATATGTGCACTTCTAAAATTACACTAAAGTTTTCAGAGGTTTATAGCAATTGGGAATGTCTGATAGAACCAAATAAGTCCTGGCCAGAGAGCCTCCCGCTGTACTGCTGCTTGGTATTTAGTTAAACCAGTGTCCCAGGATGGGCTGCAACTGGGGGGAACCCGGATTATTTTCCCCTCTCTGTTGTGAACGTGATGTGGGAGTGTTTTGTCAATTTTCTGTGTTTAATTGCCCCTTAGCAAGTGCTTTGCCATGAAACATGCCACAGAGGAGGAGATCTGAGCCTGCCGTACCCACTTGCACACATTAATTAGTCAGTCGGGTTGCTTTGACCTGACGGTTGAGGTGATGTCCCCGAGAGGGCACGGGGACACTGGCCATAGTCGGGTACTGAGAAACAGCACCGAGATGGCTCGGAGTGCTGTCACCTCCGTGGGCCGTGACTAGGAAATACTGTGCCAATTTAAACTAAACGCATTACATTTTTAATGGAGCCAAAATCTGCGCAGGCGTCTGCTGTGGAAAAACTGAGTTTTGCTGCTTGAAAAAGAATGCCTGGGGCTGTCGGGGGAAACGGAGCGGGAAGGTGGAAGGGGTAGGAACTTAGCCAGGGAGGAAAGCTGGGCTTGCATGCTCTGCTGCCAAACTGGAGGTTGCGGAGGGAGGGGAAGGGGCAGAAGTGCTCAGGCCCCTCCATCCCTGCCGGCTGCCACTAGCCCATTTCCTGGGGCTGAGGCTGCGTGCTGTTCTCTTTGCTGAGCATAATGCTCATTGTGCTGATGTGTGCAATGGACTGAAGTGGATATTTAAAAGCAGTTTTGCACTCTAAGGTGTCTCCTATTACAGCAGGATTGCTTAATAGCCATCTCTGGCTTATTTTCTTAGGAAAAGAAAGGCCCAATGCTGGGTGGGAAGCGGCAGTGACAGTTTGTGGCACAGCTCGCAGAGGGAAAGCTGGCTGGTAGAGTACTGGGTTATTCATATTGTGCTGTTTGTTTCTCTGTGTATGCCTGTGCTGGTTCTTTGTCCTTGAGGCTACTCCTTTCCGGTGGAAGAGCCTTCCTGCAAAATCTTCCTGGTTTGCTGTGAAGGTGGTGTGTAGCTAATCAAAATAAAACTGAAAAGGCAGTTCTGTCCTGTTCGGAAACGTATAGCACTTTGTTTCTGGGAAGCGGGTACAATCCCAAGTGCCATCATCTAATGTCATTCCTATGAGTAGGAATCCATTACCATTAATGAGGATATTAGTCCCTCTCTAAGCCTTGGTTCATCTGGTCTTGCGGTTAGGTATTCTATTTGTCTAAAAGCCCTAGGATGTGTTTATGAGGGTTTGTCCCAGACAGAGTTTTCTTTCTTTAGTGTGCTTTACTTCTACAGCCTGTTCTCCTGCACATTTACTCAAAATGAAGCACTTTTTGCTTTCAACTTTCTTGACTGCCTGTCGGTATTCCTGCTTGGGTCTGTCTCAGTTGCTAAGATGCTGCTTTCACCTGATACCTCTCATTGACTTGAATAAGCTATGTCTTCTGCCTTTTCTTGACCACCTTGTTTCCTGTTAGTTTCATGTTATAGCTGTCTAGTTCTTGCTGCTCGTGAAGTAATTTCCAGTACCTCTGGATTCCTGCATATTGATGCTCCACTTCATGCTCCATTTAATTGTCTTTGAATCAATATCAGATGTTCAGCTTAAAAGATTTCAGCCAATACTCCTGGAGTGCCTGTGGAGGCATCTCCGCAGTCCCAAGGAATTTCTGGGTATGTTGCATCAGTTGCTAAGAAAAATACAAAGAAATGCAACAAATGCCATCATGGTTTGGTTTGGTTTTTTCCTTGTAGTCATGCAGAATGTGACACGTTTTGCCACCTTCTCATGTTCTTGGGCAGATGTCATGTCCGTCAGTGTCTTAGTGTGTCCTTTGCTGCAGGAGAGATGCTACCTGTAGGAACTTCTTCCTGAAACAGCGTTGTTGCTTTTCTTTCCTTCAAAGAGAGAAGTCAGGGAGCGGGTTGGGCAGTGTGCTCGTGGGTGCAGAGATTTCCAGGACTCGGACGACTGTCCGTTCGTGTGCGTGTTCTCAGAAACCTTGTGTGGTGTGGTCATGGTGGAAAACGGGGTGATTTACCCACGGGCTTGAAGGCTGATGAGAAGGGAGAATTGGTACGGGTAGGAGTGATGTTGGCACACTTCAACCCCCAAATCAAATCTGGTGCTGGTTGTTTATCTCCTGTTTTCATAAGAAATGGCTGAAAATCCTAGAAACTGGGATTGGGGAGGGGAATGACTTGCTTTTTAAGTCGATGCATTTTGACTGGTGGACTTGTGTGAATGCTGTTTGGAGTGTGGGGGCTGAGGGTCCCCCTCGCAATGTGCTAGTGGGGCTCTCCTTTTCCTTGAGTTGGACTGGAGAGACTTGTTTGGAAAGTAAACTCTAATAAATGTGGTTATAAAACCACTGAAACATTATCTGATGTCATTGTGACATCTGCCACATGCCTGTGTATCCTGAAGTGCATTTAATCTTTATGTTACCAGCTCTTTAGGGAAAACTTTGTTACAGCTTTTCAGGGAGTTATTCAGAGTCCTTCCAGTGACTTAGCTGCTCACAGACAGGATCAGGATTAGTTTTATAGCTGTTGGTGTTAAGGAGTCATTTCCTGGAGCGTGCTTGAAACAAGGATAGATGGGCTTCCCTCCCTCCAGATTGGATCAGTCCTTGTGTGGTTTATGACCTCTGCTGCATGGTTTTGTTTTTTCTTATACTATATGCAGAAAGACTAGGAGAGAGAGTGGATTAGAAAAAGGTGGCTAAAAACAGTGATTAAAGGAAAAAAGTCTTAAAAACCCATAACATTGTGACCTGCATATGGTGTACAGAGACTGGTTGTCCTACCAGAGCTGGTGTAATACAAGTCTTAGACGCTTTTTCCCTGGCAGCAGAGCGCCTGCGTTTGGGTAGCTGAGGGAGTTGGGCTCTGCAAAGCACGTAGCGTCTGGGATGAGGTCTAAGCCTGGCTTCCGACTTCTACTCACGGCTGGGACCGTGTGTTTTGCACTTTGAGGAAATACGCATTAAAACTTGCTCATTTTTTGCCTTGCACAATAGCCATGTGTTAAGCGAAACTACGTCTGACCGTTGAGTCCCTTGCTTTAAAATCTTTTTTTTTTTTTCCTTTCAATTTGCAGAATGTAGGTGTGGATCGGTCAAGAGAAGAAGCGTTGAGGACAGTACCTAACCACCTATAGCTCCAGTTCCCGGGGCAGCAGCCCTTCCTCCAGCGCAAGAGCGTTAAGTAGCAGCTCAGGTCCAGGAGAATGGAGAAGGCGTTGCTGAGCGCCGAGCGAGTTGGAACGGACGCGCCTCCCCTTCACTTTAAGACATTTCGAATGTGATTCAGCTTCTCTGGAGAAAACTTGTAGTTCTGGATAACTCCCAGTGCTGAGAGGTATCGGTAACAAGATTTATGGGAAGCAGAATAGAGTCGGCTTTAGATTTTTCGTATGTAAATTTGTGCAGTTTAAGTGGATTTTATTGTTCATCTGTGGATACTGCGAGATGGTTAATTGCCCATGTCAATTTTACTGTCAGATTTTAACTAGATTTTACTTTCTTTTTTTAAGTGTTTTTTCTAAGAGCTCCTCTTATTTTTACTGTGAATGATTGCATTAGAATTACATGGAGATTTTTTTGATGGCGTATTTAACACAGGTGAAATTCTACATTTTCAGCATTGGAGGCTTCACGTTGCAAAATTACTTTAAGTGGAAAAGCCTATCAGCTCTGATAGCTTTTCTGTGTTTTAAATTGTGCTTTGGTTTGCCAACCGCAACTTAACATTCTTCTGAAACGGGGAGACTTTGTGTCCCTGCCCATGGCAGGGGGGTTGGAACTAGATGATCTGGAAGGTCCCTTCCAACCCAAACTGTTCTGTGATCCTATGACTTTC